TTCTCGTTCTTCTTTCAACTCTGTTGTAACCTGGAAAAACATTTGGCACTGAGTGTCGGGAACAGATAGAACGACTTACTTTATTGAGCTTGGAGACAGCTTGTGAGCATTTTTTCTCATTTGCTTGCTTAGCCGCGTTCACTTCTTGAAGCTGTTTTCTCAAAGATTTGCACTCAGTCGAGGACTTTGACAGCTTCGTCTCCAAGTCATCGATCTTAAAAGAGCATAAAACTAAAGTAGTCAGATGTACCATAGGGATAATGGTAAACAAACCTGTGCCTGAGCCATTTTCTCCATATTGTTCATAGCCCGCTCCATATCAGCAAGTCGTGCCTGTATGGTGTTACTCTAATACAGAAATAAAGTATCAAGCATGATACTCACTTCAAAGTACATTCGTTGGCTTTCCAACTGACTTGTTAACAGACATGTGTACTCCAATTTGATACCGTCCAACTTATCCTTTTTCTCCTCAGCTTCTGCCTGAAATTAAACTTAGGAAGAATGGACTTAATCATTGCAAGTTCCATCCAACCTGCGCATCTCCTCTTTGATATTCGACTACTTTCCCTTCAGTGTCAGACTGAATGAGACGATGGACATAATTGTCACCGGCATAATCCCAAACTCTCTGACCTCCCACTTGCAAGCAAAACGTATGCGATGTTAACTCGAAGTGCCTAAAAAGGTGTGTATAAATAAAACTTCAAAGCTCGTAATGCAATTGCACCTCACAGTGTAAACTCAGAATAGCAAAGATAACACCGGCTAAAGAGAAAGAGCGATGTGTAGTGGCTAAGCTACCTATTGCGCACTCCTTCTACAGTCACATCAAAGATAACCTAATAGCCGGGGTAGCATATGGCGTGTCAAAAAAAGCAAGTTATGTATGCACACGGATAAAATAAAACATGATCACCTACCTGTACGCGTGTCCTTCTGCGTATCGCCCGCACCCTATATTTCCACATATCAAGCATATCCAAAGATCCGAGCTTTGTC